GCCCAGCTTTGTCAAGAGCTTCCCAAGTTCCGATTGATCCGTCGGTTTTGCATCAAGCAATCTCTGGCAAGCTTCGCGTCATTGATGATGCTGCGGATGGAGGCCAGAGCGCCCTCAGTTCCGATGCGAAAAAGCTTGACCTTTGCACAAGCATTCAGCCTGGCCTACATGTTCAACTTCTATGGCAAGCCGCATCTTCATCCCCGCGCAAGGAGGAACTACCCAACGCCTACCGACACGTTCCAACGCGGCCGGACCACAGCAATATGGCTATCGTGGCATACTATGACCACCATGCCGGAGCCCCCCGTTTTCGACGGTACTGTTCGGGCTTCCCAATGCTGTGTGCTCCTTCAACAGATTCCCTCGATTCTTTCAAGCAGCCTGTCGTCGCCTGGCCTACTGCATGACCAGTATGTACTTCGACGACCTGACCATCCAGGACTTTAGTATTATGGGAGGCACCGGTCAAGCTTTTGTCAATGAACTGGGAACCTGCTTCGGTTCACCCTTCCAAGCAGAAAAACATCAGTCACTGGCTGCCCAATCCGACTTCTTGGGCTTGATTCATGACGTGGCTGGATGCCCCAGGCTGCCCCAGTAAAATTTTGGGCTCGTGACCGTTTGGTCACTAAGGTTACCGACATCATGGCTGAGGCTGCCCAAACTCATCGATTCTCACCAGGTCTTGCAGCGAAACTCTTCGGTTGCCTCGGATTCTTGACTACAGGTTGTTTGGGCAAACTCGGACGATCAGGACTTCATAGTATCAAGGAGCGCCAGTACTCCTCTCAGGTCCAGACGAGCTCTACCAGTGTTTTGATCGTATCCGTGCACTGCTTCAGTTGAAGCCTGAGCGCGAACTTCCCCTCAGCCCCGTGCGGCAGCGCCGGTACTTGGCAGCTTCGGATGCTGCGCAAGATCTGCCACGGGAGGGCTCCGCTGGGGTCCTTTTCATTGATCCTCAAGGCCACCGTCGAGCCTATGTTGTCCACATTCGCCCTGAGATTTTTGAGGTTTGGTCGCACCATGAGGCCAAAATTGCACAACTGGAGCTGTTGACAGTTTATATGGGATTAGCGTATAATGCTTCGTCTACTTGAGGGATGCATGGCATTTGGTTCGTCGACAACATTGCAGCCCTTACGTCCCTCATTCGGGGGCGAAGTAACAACGAGGAGTTAGATTCCATGGCCGGAGCTGCTCATGGTTTACTCTTCGAAGCGCTTGCTACTTTGAATGGGTACAGAGCAAGGATAACTGGTCAGACGGCATCAGCAGACAAGGAGCCCAAGACCCTTGGTTCCAACGGCATGGGTTCTCGCTCTTTCACACCTACCCCCTGCTCATGCTCCCAGGCAGAGTGTCAGATGTCAGATGACGCATGCGACGTGGGTCGCTTTTCAAACCAAAGCACTCAGGTACAGACAGTACAGACCTAAATCGACTCGGAGAAAAGATAGCAGCAGCTGATGTCAGTTGATTGAGTTTCATCGAATTTATTCAATCATTCAAGGTAGGCAGGGTCGGTGATGAGGAATTATTTGGGAAGCGTCAAGTCAACGTCTCCCCGATGTTTGAATGCTCGAGCCAAACTGGGGAGACTCCCCTGAGGAGCAGAGTCACTGCTGGTACCTCAGGTTAGATTTTTCTCCCACCCTGCCACACCCTCTTTGCTCTTTGGTTCAATGTCCACCTGGCGCTGGGCTAGCGGGCGGCTGACTCGGCATGGCGCCTGCGGACTCTTCGATTACCCGGTATCGGTCAGATCACCAATGGCCTGTGCTAACAGCTTGGGGGCCATTCCATGCTCTTTTGGTTATCTAGTCCACTGTCTGCCGCTGCCGTCCAGTTTGAGTTCCTTTCGGCTGACCGCCGCACAACCATCATGTATACCTAGGGCGTACCTGGTATTGATGATGGCTAGATCCATTTTTGATTTTCTTTCTTTTCCTCAGAGCTCTGTCCAGAGCTGTCATCCGTAGTGGCAGTAGTACCGCCCCTGCGGTATCCTCTCGGTCACATTACACGGATGGAGTGCTCCCACAGGGAGAGTGTCAGATGTCAGATGACACATGCGACGTGGGTCGCTTTTCAAACCAAAGCACTCAGGTTCAGACAGTACAGACCTAAATCGATCCGGAGAAAAGATAGCAGCAGCTGATGTCAGTTGATTGAGTTTCATCGAATATATATATATATATGTGTGTGTGTGTGTGTGTGTCATTTCCATCTTTGGTATTTGCCTGCCTTACGCAGTGCAGCGGAGCATGCAAACAACATTATGTGCCCCTAGCGCTCCCTGTAGTTCCTACTTCCGTCTTCACGGTCTGTTGGTATGTCCAGGCCTGTGGGATGTCTCGATTTATGCTTTTGCCCAGTTCTCTTGGTGTTTCCTTCAAAGTTGCAAAGCTTTTCATCAAGTTTAGCATGGGTTTCATTTGTCGTGGTTCCTGAGGGTCTTCTGTCAAGAGCAAGCTGTTCCAGGTTTTTTCATTTCCATCTTTGGGATTTGCCTGCAAAACACTGTGCAGCGGAGTTTGCAAACAACATCATGTTCCCATAGTGCTCCCTGTAGTTCTTGCTTCCGTCTTCAGGTTTGTTGGTATTTCCAAGCCTGTGGGATGTCTCGATTTATCCTCTTGCCCAGTTCTCCTTGGTGTTTCTTGCAAGTTGCAAACCTTTCATAAAGTTCTATTTCCTTAAGGGGGAGACAGACAGGTGGACACAAATGGACATCATTCAAGTTTATATGTACAAGTGACCTGTATCAAACATCCAAGCTTCAGATTTTGTGTATGAACCCTTGACTGCAAAATGATCATTTTGAATACTTTTTGCCGCGTCGAAAGCAGAGGCCCCCAGAGAAACACATGTCTTTCCGATTCCTTGCTGCTTGCAACCTTTTGAAACAAATAAATAACCTTCAAATTCCTTGCTATTGGCAAGACTTTGGAAGGCATGCCCTGCATGTTCTGTGGTATTTGCAGCACTTTGGAACGGAAACCTTCGCATTCCTTTCGATTTGCAGCACTTTTGGAAGGGTTTCTTTCATATTTCATGCATTTTCGCGCTATTTACAGCCCTTTTGATCAACATGCATCAAATTCCATGATATATGCATGGAAATCTCAAGGATGAAAATGTTTTGAGTGCTCGGTGAGGCGGCCTTTAGTTCAATAAGTCACTTGTGCTGTGTTTTTCAGGCAAATACCAAAGATAGAAATGCAAAAAAAAGCTCGGTCGGCTATAGGCCCTGGTTTATATTCTTTTTGCATTTCTATCTAGTCGGCGTCGTTATAGACTCTTTTGGATCTCACATGCCCCATCCCCCGCTTTGTGGGGGATATTTGTTGTGAAGAAGAAGCAGGCTACATACATGAATCGGCCCAATTTGTTTATGAAAGCGGAAGCTTTGGATAGGGCCTACCTTAGGGTGTTTGTTTGCAGTCCGGCCTTGGCTTTCCTTGACCGATGCCGTTTTTGGTGGTGCGCTGGGTGTGTTGGTGGGTTGGAATGTTGTGCCTTGTGAAGCTTTCTCCAAGAATATCATTTCACATTTTCCCTTCCCTGCCCTCAAATCAGCTCGTGCCATTCGCATCCACAGGACTGTCGAAGACGTAACCTGTGTATATATATATATACACACCAATGTTTGGCAAAGGGGTTGCCACCTTCCTTGGTATTTGGTTCATCCCAGTGCTTGCCACTTTCAATTCTTACCATCCTGGTCACAGGTGACGTTTCTGGTCCACAAGTCTGCCTGCTGGTCTGTCTGTTTGCCTGTTTGTCTCTGTCTGGTGCCATGAATGTGCAATTCGGTTGAGCCCGCACGCATGCCGTTGTGCCATGGCATTCCTTTGACAGTGGTATTCAAGTTGGCGAGTATGTTTCAAGTTCTTGGTTGAACAAGTGTTGTGACACTGTGACACCTGTCCTCTTTCCGCTAACTGCGGGATTGCTTGTCAATGTGAAGTTGTCCTTGGTGCCCAGGATGATTCAGAACTTCGGAGATGTCGAGATAGTCGCACGGAGCCAAGTTTTGTACTGCCATGGCATCAGCAAGCAGTCTCATCTCATTATTGAATGAGTGCTCCTTTGGTGGATCGCAAGGTGCAGCGGTTGCCGACACCTCGCCGAAACATTGACATACATGGCCCTCGCACACAGACCATGACAGTCCAGCAGTTTATCACTTACATGAGCCGCCCAGTGAAGTCGGTGAAGAATGAAGACCACTTGTGGTATTGGTCAAGTCAAGTGCTACATGAGCCTCCTTTTGACAGCCTCCTGCCAACCTTTACTCGGCCTCATCCTTTCAGAGCTTCCGATGATTTCCTCACACGCTGGAGGTGTCTGAGGCTTGTTGCACCATCCTTGCTGCAATTTATTTTCTACTTTCGTTGGTTGTTTCTTGGGCCAGCTGGTGCTTATTCAAGGCTTCACGTAGATCCAGCTGGCAGTGCTGCGTGGAATGCATGCTTGGAGGGCACCAAGAGGTTTGTGTTCTTTGATCCGCTGGTCATGCATGATTTGCATGAGGACTTAAGCAACCCTGCAGCGGGAAAGCACCTTTTCCCAGAATACTTAGCTGATAAAGGTGCAATAAAGCATGCCGGGTTGGAAATCATTGCCAGCGCTGGGGATGTGGTATATGCTCCACCCAGGTGGCCACATTTCGTTGAAAATCTAGAGGCTTCGGTGTCGGTGACAGAAAACTTCATACGACCGGATCAGCATTGCTTTCTTGATGAAGCCCTTGGGAGTGTGGAGGCGTGCTCCGGAATTCCCAGAGACGAGGTACGCCGCCTCCAAAGGTTCCGTCGCTTCGTAAACCTGGCATTTTCACTTGACCAAATGCTTGGATCGACACAAGCAAAGCAAAGAGGTAAAAATGCGCAGAGTACCTGCGTACAGGACCACAAAGATGTCTTGTGTATTGCTGCAACAGCTGAGTTGTGTGGATATTCTGTACAGTGAGCTCCAAAAGCTTTGCCAAGGAAAGTGGGAGCAACAATCATCAGCCTTGGATGGCACATTGCAATTGCTTCAACGCCAGCTAGGCGAGATGTGGGTTTGGACAGTTGAGCAGTTGGTGCATGTACCAGCACGTTGTGCCTTTATAAAACGGCTCAATTGTTGTTTTGCAGGCGGCAAGGATTCGTGTTTCCAGTTTTGGAGAGGAGACCAGCTGCAGGTTGTGATCGTTGATGCCTCAAAGCTCCCAGGACGTTCCTGCCGTGGACGTTTCCTTCTTGACTCTTTTGTGGTGACCAGGGTGGCCCACAACTACTCGAAGGGGATGGTAGATGAGTCACCGTACATTTTTTTGCGTAGCCTTGGCTGCAGGAAGGGGCAACCGGGGTTGACGCAAGTTCTTCCACAACCGTACAACACAAGAGTTCAAAGATCACAGCGTGAAAAGGACCGATTGCATGTCTTGCTTGCTAGTCGAAGTGGTTTTTCTTGTTGGCAGCGGAGCCAGTAACCCCGGCTTCAGGTATATCATGGTAAATGGTATATTCCCCAAAGCGCTGAAAGCTGGCGGGGAGCGTGGTCCAGGTTTTGAAAACCTGCATTGTGGCGTGGGATCAATGCAGGGCTTGGATCGCCGCATGGAGATGGTTTAGGCGGCACTCGTGTGGAGAATTTGCATTATGTTAAGAATTTGCATTATGTTATGGGTTGACAGACATGGATTTTTTTGCCCCACGTGTTGTGGCCAGCTGGTCAGCTCCAGCCGGCAATGGGTGCAACATCAAAGCAGTTGGGCATACAGAAAGTGCAGGTTCTCAGTTTCCTGGTCAGCTCGACGATGCAGAGCCAGTACAGGTTGGTCATGGGAGCTGACTGAGCTGACCCTGTCAAAGAGACAGAACCCACAGCAGAACAGTTGACGGTAATGACCAACAAAGTTGTTACAATTGATTCTGCTCCCTACGCGGACATCTCCGTGCTCACACCGCACGTAAGGAGAACACAACGTCAGATGAAAGTTAAAGGGTCCCCGCTTCAAGATGACGGCACATGGAAGCAGACAGAGCTGGCTGGCAATGTGTACAGGGCAATCAATAAGCGCAATCCATCCACACCAGGAGGAGACAAGAAATCTATGATCACCTGGGCTGCACCAGATGAATACTCCAGGAACATTGCCTCATTGAATCGGCAGTATCCGGAGTATTGGCAATTGATTTTACAAGCAGCGAAAGGGCAGCCGGGTGCCTTCCAGGAACCTTGTGGTGACCATCGCGCTCATGTTTGTCAGCTTTGCCTTGGACAGCGTCCAAATGTCCAATGTTCAAAGGGCAAGGGTGGTGACAAGGGAGGCGGTGGAAAGGGAAAGTGACAGGAGGAGGATGAAGTGATGCATGATTTCACAGATTCGGGCCAGGAGCAAAGTGTTCTTGAACGGGAAGATGTGAAAGTTACAGTCGAGTTCAAGAATGAAGATAAGAAAGTTTCAGTGCCAGGTCAATGTAGAGAATTCGTGATTCGCTGGGATGGGAGGCTACTCAAGCAATGATGAAGAAGACTATAAGGCCGCGACGCTGTCAGGAAAGGCATGGGACAACGTGGAGGAGAAGTCGGGCGAACGCGCTTGGCTGCAGGATCCATGTGGACTATGTATTTCTTGGGCAAAGGCGCTCAGATGTTGGCTAGAGTCAAAGTTGGGAAAGCAATCGTTACAACTGCGCGCATATAGAGTTGTTAGCAGATGGAAGAACGTGTTGGTGAGAGCATCTGCCAGTTAATCAGAAGTTGTTCATCAGAAGCTGACAGCAAAACAGAAACATCAACAGGAGAATAAAGAAGCAGATGGTGGACTTCGAAATCCCAGAGATGCTGTGCGCAACAAACAGCCGGCCGAATCTGGCATGTGGTAGAAGATCACACGCCAGAACGTATAATACAGGCCATGTGTGAAGACTGCGCTCAGGGCGTTCCAAGGGAATGGTGCACAAAAAAGCGAAGAATCAGACCTCCAAGATGACCTTTCGCGTGCGACCGCTGACAAGCAGCAGACAAAGATGCCGTGACGGTGCCAGTGGATGGCGCAAGGATTCCCACTACGGATGACTCAGCAGCAGTGGAAGCATCTAGAAGAGATGGGTTGGTAGAAGGAGACGCAGATGGCGAGCTATGTATACTAGCGTCGAAGAAGCAGGAATCCCGGCAGGGGAGTTGTTGCAACAAATGGAACAGGCAGGCCGTGCAGATGTATGGCAAGAGGCTGAAAACTTGGTGGGACCAGGCTCGAAGTTGACTCGACTTGCTTGCGTTGTAAGAGAGAAAGAACATGGCGAACACAAGTGCAGGCTTGTGGTTGGTTGTCGAAGATCTGGAGCCAATGGGTTGAGCCATCCTACCAAAGATGACAGATGCTGTGTCTTCAGTTCAATCATTGCTTGAGGTACTTCAGTCTGACTGCGGGACCGTTGCTGTGGGCGAGGCTGGCAAGTGGAGGCCGCAACGCGGAAGGGTGAAGGAGCTCTAGCGTGCTATGTGGATGAACCTCACCTTGCAGTGATGGATGGCGCGGCAAGACCTCTGTTCTCAAGAACAGTCAGTCCCTTTGCTGCCTTAAGGCTGTACAAGCTGGTCCCTCCGAACTGCTTTCTGCGTATGTGTAGCAGTATGGCAGGCATTGGGCTTGGAGATTTCATCGTCCAAGGTCAGTCATGGCCGTTCAACCCGATGGATTGGATATGAGGCGGAGGTGCTGGGATACCAGCATGGTGACGTGGTTGTCATCAACCCCAGCGGGAAAATGTTGCAGGTGTTTGACGACATGCTGGCGCGCAAAGGCATGATACCCTTGCGATTGTTGATGTATGCGGGGCCAGCAGGATGCGCGCAACACGCCCATCGCTGGCAATGTTGTATGCAGAGTCGCCAAAAGAAAGCCTTGGTCTGTCCGAAGCAGATCAACCACGCTGTGACTTGGCTATGTGCCCTGGTACAGGAAGTGAATGCATTGAGACCTGGGATGCCCCTTGCGTGTTGCTACAATCGTGCGCGTTCTTCTCAAATAGGTGTCTATCTCATGATAGCTGGTGAATGCGTGGCATATTGGCGCAACAAAGTGTCCGGCAGATCTAGAGTTGTTGGGTGCCACCGCTAGCGAGTCTGTGTTTGAGAGTGAAGGGGAGCTGCTGACGGTGACAATGCTGCCACTATTTCGGCAGCAATGGAATATCATGCTAAATCACCATTGATGGTTCAACTTGCCCCAGAGATTAGCGTGCAGATAGAGGTGCGCCAGCTAAGTCAATAGCGCCAGCGCAAAAGTGCATGGCCGTGAAGATTGGTGCTAAATGAAGCAGAACCTGCGGGGCTGACACTGGACTTGAATGGCATAAATCATAAAACTGAATAGCCAGGTGATTAGCCTACACTGCCAGTTCAGAAGAACGACCCAGGTGCAGAGGGGCAGGGAGGGCTTCGCCTTGCAGATGCCAGAAAGAAGATAAAGAAGGACTTGCCACGCGCCCATTTCACGTGGGGAAAGCCATCAAGGAAGAAGTGAATGATGCGAAACATTTGGTGATTGACCGGGCATTTTGCGTAAAATTCTTGGCCAGAAGCGAAGTGCCTGTGGCTTCGATCCAATGGCTTCTGCAGTTCCTCGTAGATGTCACACTGCAGCTGAAGCACATCTGTGTAGTTTGGGCGCAAAAGGGGTTCAGTTCCTGCCGACTAACATGGATGGTGCTCGATCCAAAATCGTTTTTAGCTGGAATATGGCAAGCCGGCAAGCCGGTACACCACCCAGACAGCGCGCAGCTTAGCATTTCGAAACTATTCGCCGAGCAACATGAACATGTTGCCACTTGCATTTAGATGCAGGTCTTGTCTTCGATGATGTGAAGCGATAAGTGATCAGAAGAGACACTGGCATTGTAACCCCTGAAGAATTGACCAAACATAAAGACTTGATAGACACAGCCACTATCATGGCAATGTATTCTAAGAAGCCAAGACACACTAAATCATAGGTTCATTGCCAAACGGAAGTACGTGGACGGAGTTTGTGGCACCATAGAATACCTTTTTCAGGAACAGGGTTGAAGTCCTTGCAGGCTAGTGTCAGTGGCAGCGGCGATGCGTCCAACTTGGCGTTTTCTATCAGCAGGCATCAGCAAGGCACTTTCAATTAAAAGCGCGCGATGATAGGTGAACTACAGAAGCATCTAGCGTTTACAATCCCACCAGGCGCTGCAAGGCATCTTCGTGAGCATCTTCGTGAAACCGAAAGACTTGAATCTTTTGATGAGCGGGAAGATTGCTAGCTGTGCTTGAAGCCCAGCATCAGCGTGATCATGATAAGCAGTTTGAAATTCTCAAGGAGAAGTGCTGTCGTATCCAAAAACGTTGACAACATCAAAATGACTGGTGAACCCGGTGAAGTAGACAAGATAGATACTTCAAGTACTTGAGAGGCGTTTCAGACAACCCACCATAAACGAAGGATCATTCACAAAATGTGGAGTTCGAAATTTAAGGAGCGAATGAAGGCAGATATTTCAATGGACCTCGATGAAAAAAATATATATATACCGCTTTCATTACCATAAACCCAATATATTGCCAGGGTTTCAACCTCGAAGGTGCATGTAACACGAAGCTTCAATCCCTGTGCTGCCGTGGCTTATGAAGGTTTAACGCCGTGGATATTAGTCTAGAGTGCTCAATGCTCCAACGCGTGAATTGCACATCCCCAGCTCGCGTTTCCACGCATGACGCCAATGCGCGTGCAATCAATGTCGTTTCGGATTCGTCCTTGCACAGTGACGGTGGACCTTCCAAAGCATAACCCACGAAGGGAATCAAGATTATTGTCATGGGCATGTCCCGAAAGACGAAAGAGTTGTCTTCCGCTCCCGAGTTGTTGGCGGGGACAAGCTCAATTGATTCGATGCCTCGGTCGCGCATGTCTTTACCCTTAAGGGTGCTTCTTCGGTCTGCTGAGTGCGGATGACGCGAAGACCAAGAGGGAGCAGGAGTATAGAATCCTGCTGCAGCGGCTCTTGAAGGCAAGGGTTTTGTCTTCGGTTTCTGATAGATGCAAGAGACATGCAGTCGGACGCTCTCATGAAGGGTGTGATTGATCGCATGCCAATTCTGGATTGAACGGCTAGAGAGTGCTCGCTCTCGCATCCCTTAGAGACGCATCGATCTGGAGCGTCCCGAAACTGAGGTGTGATATCCCGATACCTGGATCCATACCAACTCAGCAACAACTACCCGACTTGAAGGGAACCATATATGGGTCATCACCATATATCCGCGTATCCACCTTGGCCGCTTGGCCCCAAGAAGTGGCAACCCGGGGTTGACGCAAGTTCTTGTACAACCGTACAACACAGGAGTTCCAAGATCGCAACGTGAAAAAAATCAAGTGCATTTCTTGCTTGTTCTGTTAGTCCTAACTTTTTCTCTTATTGTCCAATGCAGGAGTAGTGAGCAGCCTCCAGCTTGGTGACCTCCCTGCAGCAGGAAGCACAGACGTTTCCCAGTTCACGCTAGCCTTTGCAATCATGGATCATGTTAGCTTTGGATTGGCAAAGGTGGTGATTTTCAAAGATGGTGGCAAAGCCATGCAGCTAGAAGGTGCTGACGCTGCTTTGGTCACAGTCCAAGAGCTTCAACAGGTTCTAGGTGGTGCCAGATACACTTAAAATTACCGCGTGTGGAAAATTGGCCACAAGCGCCAGCCTTTTCTTCACCTTCGCGGGTGGAATGTTCAGATTCATCATAGGTTTCGGTTCATTTCCATGATTGTTGCATTCTTTCGTGTGAACGGTGTTACGCAGTTCTTGTTTGTGGATGTGATCTGTTGCCTTCAGAGCAGAACTGTTTACATCTCGCGCGCTGCGGCTTGCTGCTGCTGCTGCGCTGCCAACTTCGTTGTTGTTGTTGTTGTTGTTGTTGTTGTTGTTGTTGTTGTTGTTGACAGCGTAGTTCTGGTCAATGAGTTTATCAACCTCACTCCTTGTTGTAACCGTTTCCATACTTCCAATACCCCTCCAACATTCCTAACATGGCGTACGTGCACTCCAAATGGGGGGAACAAGGACCGTTTAAGCTGCTTGATGAAGCACTTGTAGTTGTATGTGCTCCTTCAAAAAATGGTGGATACGGTATTTGCCGCCCAGTGCTGCCAACACCTTTTGATCGCAATTTCCTTGACATGTCAGCCACTGAAACACGCACAATCAGTTCTTGTTCCTGTCCTCCGGTAAACTCGCAGAGCTTTGGACCCTATCGAGTCGAGCCAAGGCATCAACTCAGCCAGCTTCCTCCATCACACTTTTGCCTCCAGCCATGCCTTTGTCATGCCGAGTGCCAACCACCAAACGCAGACCGAATCCTCAAACTCGGCATGCTTTTGTGGCTCAATCATGCTCAATCGCCTTTATGCTCATCATATTTGTCCTTCGTGCCAGCTCTCAGTACATCCTAGCTCAAGCCGCTCAATCCAGGGCATTTTCTCTCCCAGGTTTGCTCAGCTAGAAACGTCCCCAAGAAGAACTGAGCTTTGAGTGAGGTTTGTGGCTGCATGTCTTCATGTATAGATGGTAAGAAGAATCTAGGATCACTTATCCAAGACCGGAATTGTCATGTAAAGAATTGCATCATCTGAAATCGGCTTTGCCGTATGCACTGTGTGACTGGACGCCAACTCGTTTGGCTCAAGACCTTGAAAAGGGCTGTGGCGCGACCGGATACGATCGATCGCGTTTGTCGGCCGACCAGGAGATAGACCAAGGTTTTAGCTTTCAACTGGTTATCAGCCGCAAGAGCTACAAGGAGACCATTGGTTGAAGAAAAACGAGACCATACACAAAGATAGAGACAAGCTTGTTAAACGAAACATTGAATTGGCATTGTGTTGAAACCTTTTTCGAACACTTGTTGCCTTGCGCCTTCGAGCGCGATCCATGCCACCGCGTGAGCGTGAACGTGAACGCTCACGGCGAAGACGGGGTCCCCGTGGCGGTGATCCGAACCGCCCAAGCCAACTCTCGCGTCGCGAGAGGGGCCTCCCCACGGAGGACCGTGGAAGAGGGGCTGAACGAGAACAGCATCGAGATCGCGGTGTTGAATACAGGCGAGTTGCTCGTGGGCGTGGTCGAGTTCGCGACGCAAGTCGCGACAGCAGAGACTGGCCCAGGTCTGGAAGAGGGCGCGGTGATCGGCCGAGCCACCGAGAGGTCTATCGTGCCAGGTCTCCGCGTCAGCCGCGGCGCCCGCCGCCTCACGTCGTTGAGACGTGGGAGACCCGGCGTGCACCGCCGAGGCCACCAAGCGAGACAGAGGAGGAGAGCGAGTACGTTGAGCGTGGTCGAGACGAGAGATCGCGATCACGAGCTCGCGGAGAGTGGCGACAGTTGTGGGTTTGGGTTCCTGAAACTCCCGAGCCCGAGGAGGAGTCGGCTGACGACGACATCCCCGAAGAGGAGGTTGAACTTGAGGGAGAATCCGTCGATACAGTGACAGGTGAGCCCCGAGTGCGCCTTGCTGAGGCCGTTGAACCTGCTCCTGAGGTTGCATCGGCTGTCGACTTTTCAGCGACCGAGGATTCGATCGCGAGGCAGGCTACAGAGGAGGCCACTGAGCATTCCGTGTCGGCAGAACCGGATACCCTTCGTGAACGAGCTCGTGAACTCCGCTCGAAGGCCCCTAGGCCGTCTGCAAGCAAACCTTCGCCGTCGTTGAGCGAGGAACAGTTTGAGGGGAAGCCGCCGGTTGAAGAGCGTGTCAAACCCCCTCCAACAGCTACATCGGCTAAGGCCAAGGTACGAAAGGAGTCGAGTGAGCCTGGAGACATTGGGCGTGAGCAGTCAGCAGTTGGTGCATTGAAACGTGCCATTGGTCGTGACACGCCTTCGCGTCAACGCGAAGGTGAAGGCTCTTCTGGATCGGGCTTGAAGCGTGGTCTTGAAGAACTTCCGGTTCCGCCTCCCGTCCCTACCAAGGAGGAGGTTGAACAGACAGAAGCTGCCAGGAAGCGTGAGATTCAGAGCTTGCCGACGCCGCCCCCGGCGCCTCGAACGCCGCCTGTGCCGGCGACCACACGTGTTGCGTCGAAGCCACGTCTGACAGAGGAGGTCCGACCCGTGGTACTTGCCCCAAGGCCGAAGGAGAGGCCACAACCTACAGGAGAGCCGTCGCCGTCCGCGCGTCCTCCGGAGCCTCGGGGGAGCCCGCCGGTCTGGCAGGACAAGCCGCTTGTTTTGCTGGACTTTCACAAAACATTGAGCTTCCCACACAACGACCCGCCGATTGCAGAGGCGACTGTCCAGACCCTAAGGGGGCTCAAGGACAAGGGATTTGCAGTGGGTGTTTTGAGCTTTGCCTCAAACAAGGCTACCCAGGAAGGTGTGGCGGCTGGTGTGGCAGAGTTGGAGAGTCGGCTTGGTTGGTCGCTTGATTTGTTTGCAATCACCCGCGCCAAGTTCTCCACCGACACCGAACAGGGAGCCTCGATCACTGGCCACATCGGAAGCAAGGCGAAGTTGGTCGCCCAGTTCGGCCCGATTATTTACGTGGACGATCAGGGCTCGTTGTTGAACGACGTCCGTGCGATTCAGCAGGACGTGCCGCTGGGAAGCAAGACACACTGCATCCGTGCTGCGACGCTTCCAAGTGAGGCACTTGTTCCATTGGAGAGATTGCTCCGGACGTTCCCGAGGACCAGTGAACTGCCTACAGCAAGGGAGTTGGGCCGGGTCTTCGGAACTAGGTGAGATCGAGAAGACAGCCAGTGTGTTGTCGAGTGCATTTTGCATTGAGTCGAGCAAACATTGGTCGAGTGAACATTGCAACATTGGTCAATAAATCCGTCGGCTGGAAGCCAAGTGTCGGGTTGAGGCTGGCGTTGCATCGTCGTCGAGCATTGCAACATTGGTCAATAAATCTGTCGGCTAGAAGCCAGGTGTCGGGTTGAGACTGTCGTTGCATCATTGAGACATCGTGTATTGGTCGAACATTAGCTGAGTTGAGGACATCTCATTGGTTGGTGGTTGAACATTGTTCATTGTCGTTGGCCAGAGCTCGTGTTACCTTCGCGTCTGACTCGCGTATCCACGCGGCGGACGCGACTCGCTGATCGCGTTTACGCGACCCACTGCCAGAAATCGCAGCTTCTAGCGCGTGGCAATAAACTCCGCGACAAACGTCGCGTGCCGGCAGTGAAAAGAGGAGGTGGTGCTGCTCAGTGTGTCGAGACATTGATTGTGTTGTTGTGTTGAGCTTTTGTGAACAAACGATTCATAGTTAGTGAGAGTCCTTTAACTGAGTTGGGTCGAATTTGAGTGTGTTGGGATTGAGTTGATTGATTGAGTTGAGAATCGTTGCATTGCACCGGATAGTCGATGTCAAAACGGTCGCTTCCTGCAACACCCTTTCGTGTCATCGGTCCTGAAGGCTCCTACGAAACCTCGAGTTCATCCATTTCTCCGGAGACTGGGCTTGCGAGGATGGAGGGTGATTTGGGAACTGGTGGAGGAACCGGGCTCCAAGTGAGCATGCCGGTCAAGGGAAACACAAAAGTTGCGGTGAGTCGCATGCGGACTCAGAGCTCTGAACCTTCCCAACCTTCCGGGGTACAAGGTGATCCATCGACTGTTCCTGGGGTGCATGTTTATGATCAGAGAACCCTCAACCACTTACAGGTACTCAACCAGCACAACATCGATCCAGAGACACTTGAAAGAATTGTTCAGGGGTACGTTCAATCGCAGTTGAACCATGCAGAACAGGTGATACAGCATGAACGACAACAACATCAACTTGAGCAGCAAAATGCAGCATTACAGTTGAGCCTTGAACATCAACAGATGAACCAACACATACAACAGCAAGAAGCCAAATTGGCACAACAAGCGCGCAGCAGAATCAACCAGATCACAACAGAGGCACAAGCAGAAATCCTCAAGCATCAGCAGATAGCAGAACAAGCACAACGCGAGATACAACGCGCGACAGCTGCAGCAGAAGCTAGGTGTCAAGACCTTGCGCGTGAGAACGAAGCCCTTCGAGCTTCGCCTGTTGCAGGCTACTTTGATGCGTGTCCGTCGGAAGCCGGAAGAGCCCCGTCGGTTGCTTCAGCCTCACCATTGAACGTTGTTTACTGCCATGTGTGTGGAAACCAAAATGTTGTTGGGCGTGGTTGGCGTTGGAACTGCAAAAGTAGTCTTGAAGAGCCCGAGAATGGTACGGACCCTTTTGAACCACCATCTCATGAAAGATATATGTACCCAGTGCCTACGCGACCCTCTAGTGTTGCGACCATCAGGGAGCCAGTCAACATCCAAAGGAACATTGCGTCGCATGAGGGACCATCCCATGCAGAAGTTCCTCTTCCTCGAGCCCCTGGCGGTCCGGGACCGTATGGCATGCCGTGTGGTGCATTGCATGATGGTTCACATGTTCATCGTCTTGGTGTTGATCCCAGGTTGGTCTATGGGATGTCGACCCCAAAGGGGTACATCGGCACTATTCCAGAAGCACCTCCAGGTGTGTCATCATCAAGTCACCCACCAAACATCTCCATTGCGACACCTCGCAAGAAGGAGTCATCGGAGTCTGGTGGAGGATCAGAGAGCTCGGATGGTTCATCCGACGAAGGCTCAAGAATGCCGGCAGGCAACCCTCCTGAATCTTGGTTGCTTGACGGTGAAACCGAAGACAACGTGTACAAAATCAAGCACTTGAGAAACATCTCAATCACCA